GTATTCAGTTTATTACTGCGGGTAGTGTCAGCCAGGGTAGTGATCTGATTGCAAGCCATGTGCGGTGAGCTGTGTTGGGGCCCTTTCACACTGCATGAGGAGACACTATTTGCCCCAGGGGCTTGTGGAAAACAATTTTCTTCAATGTACCCTGTTCACGCCAACGCCGTTTTGAATGCACTGCAACACACTGCGGTGCATAGACATTAATGGTGTCATTTTGTGACACTTTATAAATAACGTTTTGGGAAAAAATGTTACATACACACACAATGGACAGTGCTCCCAGTGCTTTAGCATGTGAGCTGCTGTGAATGAGCCGTTAGGCTGGCAGCCCACGGGCCATTTTGTGCTATAGCGATCATTCAGGTCTATTCACAAAAGGGTGAACGTTGGGAGAAGTGAACAATCTAGGACAATGTAACTGAACTGGAAAGTGAGCTGAATTGGAGTTTTTTTTTCCAAATCAGCGATGGTGTCCTAGATTGTTCTCTTCTCCAAACTCTTCACCCTTTACTGATTGCCTGGCTACTGACTGCTAGGTAACTGAGGTGTAGCATGTACAAAGCCTTTAGGGCTTGTTCACACCAAATGCAGACCAGATGTGCATGAGTTTCTGCATGTGCAGTGTGTTTTGATGCATTCCAGGCCATTTTTAAAAATGGGCTTTCAGTGCGTTCCAGGTGTTTGCATGCGTTTTGATGTGTTCCAGAGCAGAAAAAATAGGGCATGCTGCAGTTTTGGAACTGAACGTTATGTGAACTAGAGCCCAAACTACCACTGGGATATATTGGATGCATTTTCGATGCGTACTGTAACTGCTCTGCATCTGATCTGCACTTGGTGTGAACAAGTCCTTAAAGAAGAACCCTATTAACCCTTGTAGTGGGGCTACCACTGCAAGGGCTAACTGCCTATTTTTATCTGGGTGCTAAAAAAAAAAAGTTATATTCACCTGAACCTCAGAGCCGACTTTATTTTAGACTGGTCCTTCCAGCCTCTCTCTCCCCCTACTCTGCAGCAGTCTAAGGTTCCGTAACCATCATGTTCTATACTGTGGGGGGAATTTTTCAAAACTGGAGCAGACAAAATCTGGAGCAGCCGTGCATGGCAACCAATCAGCTTTCATTTTCAAATCTTAACTATACAAACTGAAGAGAGAAGCTGATTTGGTGCCATGGGCAACTGCTCCAGATTTTGTCTGCTCCAGTTTTGATAAATTCCCCTCACATTGTATTAGGGATGCACCAATACCGGAATCGGTGCTGATACTGTCCAGTACCCAATACTAAATGCAGACATCTGCTTTTTACATTTTGAAATTGAAGATGCTGCTTGAGGCCAACATGCTTGCTGGGGACCTCGGCAGCCTTCCTGTGAACTGCGGCGCCTTTTTACAGCGGCATACAAAAGCATATATTTCACTGCCTCCTGTTTACGGTGCCGGCCACACATCTCCTCCTGCTGGGGAACCACGCAGCACTGCTTACACCGCTTCTGCCCTCTGCACCTGCCCACAAGGCGGGACCCCTGGTGAGACTCCGCACAGCCCTACTGAGATCCTCCGCTGGAGATTTCAGGACGGCACCTCGGAGCAACACAGAGTATGTAGCTTCATATTATTCTGCATTGCTGTATAATGTATTGCTGGGATTTTTAGTCCTCTATAGCTGATGCTATCATAATAATATCTGCTATAGAGGACTAAAAATCCCAGCAATACATAATACAGCAATGCAGAATAATACGATCAGCTAGAGAGGAATACAAATCAAAGCAATAAATTATACAGCATTGCCGAATGGCAACCGGCTATAAAGGAGTACAAGTTCCAGCAAAACATTATAAAGAAATACAGAATAATGCTATTATTCTGCATTTCTGTAGATCAGGAGGCAGTAAAGCATAAACACATTAGGTTCTACTATGACCCATCTCTCTCAACCAGCGAGACCAAATGCAGTCAAGTTTACGCATAGGATTGTGAAGGAAATATGTGTTCTTGAATGGGATGCATCTGCCCTATTGTTGCAATCTTTCTTCCTTAGCTGTAGTGGTAATAAAAACCCTCTTTATGGGTGTATACTCATCTTGATAGGAAGAATCATATCCAAGTATACATGCAATACATGCAAGTGGGTCAGCAGTCAAGAAGGTGTCCATGACCATATCAATGGTTTCGATGACACCTGGCGGTGTCTTGTGAGTGTAGGGCACTGCCAAAACAGGCGTATCAAATTGCCATGGGGTAGGCCACACCCACCACAGCATGAATTAGAGCAAAGGCCAAGTTTGCAAAGGAATTCCAGGGCACATGTTAAATCAGATTTAAAAGGGAACTATAGGGTAACATTTTCCCCCCCCATAGTTCTCTTCAGTGTCATGGGGGTACATATACTTTCTCCTGTGACCCAAAGCTCAGTATGTAGCGAGCTTGCTATATACCGAGACTGCTGCAGCCGGGACAGATCCCGACAATGCTGTCGAGATCCACCCAGCTGCGCGAGTGACTGCTGGCTTTGCCCACCTCCTCCCCCGTCCGTTCCTCCACTCAGCACTGGAGGAGGGGGGAATCCCTGCAGGGAGCGGTGACTGATAATCACGGCTCTGCAGGGAGATGATCAGAAAGTGAGCGAGCGACGGTATGTGTTTGCTCACTTCCCGATCAATACAGCCGACCTGTGACACTTTCATTGTCACAGGTCGGCTCGAACTATGCGGCTGAGTGGAAATCACTCACCTCATAGTTCTCCTTTAAGTTCTACTTTAGGATCTGCCCATGAGGATTTGTTCTCTTGCTTAAAAGGAGCCAGTCACTAATTTCATATTCAGAATCAACATGTTACATGAACAGGCTCCACACCTGGGCCTGCGTTTTATGAGCGAGCCGAAAATGCATATGCAGTGTAATGTGAATACGTCTTCCAGCAGATGGTTATGAATAGGCCTCTGTGTTTTGGTTCTGATTCCGAAATGTAATGCTTGTCTTGATGCAGTGGATTGTCTGTCTATTATCAGCCATAAGATAACGAGTACCACAGAGACCCGTGTTGTTATTTTGGATTCTTGATTTTTGTGTTACAAATGTCTGCCTTTAAGGCTGAGTTAGGTCATGGTGCGTTAGCGCACACACACGTGTTGTTGTGCAGTCTATTATTAAAATGGGCTGCCTAACGCCCTAAAAAAGTGCATTCGGCATTATCGTCAGCGCACAACAATGCGCATAAGCCCTGCTAGCAGGTGCCTCGGGATGCCATTTAGAATGAATTGCACTGCATGGCAATACATGCATATTTATTACCGCAGTGCAGCAGAGTAAAGATATTCAAAGCAAGGACTGTCATCATTCACGGGGTGCAGTGAATATCCAGAGAGATGGTTTTCACTTTTGATCGATGAGTCCAGGGATAGTGATTGATTCCTAACTGCATGTAATTGTATCACATACAATTACATGTGGTGTCCTGGCGTGCAAACACAGCAGCTGTCACCCGATCATTAACTTGAATGGGTGACAGCTTCCTGCAGAAGGAAAAGTTCCTGACGCAGAAATCCCTAATCACCCCTAAAGATATAGGTGCAAATGGGTCCTCTGCACATCTATCTTAGGGCTTATTCACACCCTATATAGTGAGTTCCAGCACGATTTGCTGCTGGAACACACTGTATTGCATCCCAGCCGGCTCCCTGCGTTCTGGGGCGTGGTGGTGCATTGAAGTCAATGGCGCCACAGCCACACACCGCCCACACCTGAACACGTGGCATATCACTGCCTGCATTCTGGCCCAGTGCGATCAGAAAAAATAGTGCTTGCAGAATGCATGGAGCCTGCTGGGATGCGATACAGTGTGTTCCAGCAGCGAATCGTGCTGGAACTCACTGTATAGGGTGTGAACAAGCCCTAAGATAGATGTGCAGCGGACCCATTCACACCTATATCTTTAGGGGTGATTAGGAATTTCTGCATCAAGAACGTTTCCTGCTGCAAGAAGCTGTCACCCATTCAAGTAAGAGTCCCGCACTCACCTGACTTATGAGAGTTTCTGTTTTTTTTGTGCTGCAGACTGATGGTTTGTCAGTCAGCCGTTCTAGCTGGGATCTGATTGTAAATTGTAATTTTTGCTTTGCTTGCACTTGATTTATAGGGTTGTCCAAGCTGTGATTCATTGACTTGTTCCTGGCTGTGTTTTTCTGTATTTTAATTCTAACCATCTTAATACTTCACATTCACACTTCCAACATGGAATCCAGAACAATGTTGGGTTACACCTGCAGTAGGGGATTTGCCTTTATTTCAACAATTGTATGCAAATATCTTAATGTTTATTGTGCATGCGATGATTGCCGGCTATTCTACCACTGGATGTTACTTTTTCAGAATGTGTCAATTAAAATGTTTTGCATTTTGTCCCTGTTCTAGTTCCCTATAGCGGACTGTGTAGCTCACAAAATATTCCATCACGGGATCCATGTTTTCATGTCATGTAATGCAACATTGCATATGTACCCAAAAGCACAGCGTCTCCATGAAACACTGTGCGTGAGATCTTTTATTTTTACATTAGGGTGTTAAATAGTGTCAGTTATATTATGGTGTCATGTGTGACATTATATATGATCTCTCTCTGTCTCTCTATCTCTCTATACACATTTATTTTATTTTTGTGTGTGTTAACAATAGCAGTCCTGGTGTTTGAGATGCCAGTGATACTTGTGCCTTATACATAGAATGAATTCATGTTGGGTATGAGATGGGTTGGGTATGGGTTGATGTGTTGATTGTACCGCAAGCTCCGCCCCTCCTTCTCCCAGACTTGTGTGCAGCACGTGACTGGAGCCTCGCGCGCTTCCTGCTGGCGATGCCAGGTGAGCGACGTCACTTGCCTTGCTTGCGCCTGCGCAGTCCGCGTCTCCCGTGTGGTTGGAAGAACTGCCGAGCAGCTTTTTTTTTTTTTCCTATTTATTAAAAAAAACAACCACAAAATCGAAGACACGTGTTGAGTAAAGCGGCCGGATGGGACGCCTCCCCGGCACTCGGGGTTTGTCGGTCGTCGTGCTTGTGTGGTGTTTGGAGGGAAAGGTCAGCTGTATGCACAGCCCGCAGCGAGCAGTGTAAGTGGCACTCCTAGGTCTGATGGTGATAAAGTGTGACCGTGCTGGACGTCCTCTGAACAGGGAAGAGGGGTGCACACAGATGGGGGAGATTTGTAGAGGAGGATGGCTGGGGAGGGCGGCGTTGTGTGCTGGGTGCTTGTTGTCAGAAGTGTTAGGGAGGGACCGGTAATGTGACTGGGAGTCCTGGAGAGAACGGAGCACAAAGAGGACGATGGCTGGTCATTATGGTGACGTGTGGGAGCTCAGGTTAGCAGCACTCGAGGGCTTTAATTAGAACTCCTGTGTTTTGTGGGGTTTTTTTAAAAGAAAAGCTTACTCTGTGCCCACACCCTGCATTCCTTATACATTGCAGATTACCAGTCTGTAGCTGATGGTGGCTGCTTTTTGTTTTCTTTTACTCCTCATTCTTTCACCTGATGATCCTGCCAGTAATATGCTTCCTGTCCTAGGGTGGCAGCTAGACATGTGCATGGGTTTGGTGCAAACCGTTCGCATATGCGGCCAGACAAAACTGTTTCCCCCAGCCAGTCAGCTGCAATCAGGGCATTCCCCGCCCTTTTGTTATGCAGGGCGGGGAATGCTCCAGCTACAGTTTACTGAGCTGGGATGCCGATGTGTCAAGGCTGTGACACACTGCACGTGGAGCAGTGGCGCGCTGTCTTCGTCAGCAGTGTCATGTAATTTTCTCTCCGGCACGTCAGTTTGCGAGAGCTCGCACAGCTGAGCATGCCAAGATGAAAAAATTTAGGCCCCATTCACATTGAGCGACGCGCGATATCGCACAAATGCTTGGATTGAGCAAGCTAGAATCGCTGCAAAATCCGCTCCAAAAAGGCTCCTGCTGTAGCGACGCACGACCCGCAACAGCGACGGACAGAGCCCCATTGAGATGCATTGGAGAGCGATATCGCGCGGTAAATAGCCGCGATATCGCGGGAATTACCGCGCGATAAATCGCTCAGTGTGAATGGGGCCTAAATCTTCAGCCAATCATATAAACTCCCGCGTGTCAGGATGCGGTTGTTAAGCACGAGCCAATTGGATGAAGGTGCAGTTAATCACCTGCCTGCACTCGGCTCACACACTGCACGCAAAGCTCCTTGCCGGACAGCTTTGCTCTGCACGGCTTTGCGTGCAGTGTGTCACAGGCTTCAGTATTGCGCGGGCTTGGGCAAGGTTTTGCACATCTAGGGTGACAGCTAGAGATGTGCATGGATTTGGTGCAAACAGGTGGCCTAAGTGGCCACGGAAAACTGTCGTCTTCCCCCCGCACCCAGTCAGCTGCCATCAGGGAATTCCCCGCCCATTTGTTATGTGCAGTTGCAGGGCAGAGAATGCTCCGGCTGCAGTTTACTGAGCTGGGATGGCGATGTGTCAGTATTGCGCAGGCTTGGGCAAGGGTATGCACATCTGGGGTGACAGCTAGCGATGTGCATGGATTTGGTGCAAACAGAGTTCACCTAAGCATCCACAGAAAATTGTCCCCCCTGCCATTTTGTTGTGTAGCTGCAGAGTGGGAATGCTCTGGCTGCACATCACGAGGTGGATGTGTCTGCATTGTGCGGGCATGGGCGAACACAGCAAGAATATGCACTTCCCTAGTGTCAAAGCTTACTCACTGTACTGTATATATGGGGGAGCAGTTTTGCTGTCCAAGACAAGACTAAAGAACCAGTTCTTCTATCTACAGTGTTTTGGCAATTGGTTTCTCTCCTGGAGATTTTGCTGGTCACCTTCATCAGAACAAAATTGTGACTATTAAATGTTGAAGGTTTTTTTTTTTTTTGTGAATTATGCTTTATTTTTTCTTTTTGAGTTAAAGGAAATGATTCAGTAGGGTCTTTAAAATATGTCTATTGTCAATGGCTTTTGGAAACATGGTGGTTTATTTTTTTTTTAACTTAGTCTTTTTGGCCACACCTAGGTGAGCATTTGATTTTCTTTTTGACATTGTTCACGCATTTGTGTACATCATTTCTATCTAAATCTAAAGCTAATTGAAAGCTAATTTAAATACGTAATATTGATGCACATTTCTTTTCCCTTGATTTTCTTTGGTTGAATTTTAAAATTAAATGTAACATGATTTGTGTATGTATGTGGTATGTATGTATGTGTGTATTTCCATCCTTTTTTATTTTATTTTTTTCCATTACTGTGGTCAAAAACAATTGTCAATTTGATCCCATTAACTATTCGAAAATGGGATGGGCATTTCAAAAACGAAACAGTTTTTAAGCATAATTCTAACCATGTATACCCAGCTTTAGAAGAAAAATGATAACACACCAGCTGCCTGTATGCTTGCATCTACTGATCATTTTCTGATATGATTTTCACAGAAGATAACCTTTGCTTATGTTTGTTTTTTCTAAAAATAAAATGGTCACGGATCCACTGCAGACATTGACGGGCTTACTTGCTTCTTTCTCTGCACGTAATCTCATGATGTTAAGATCAAGGATCTGTGGGGGATTCCCTGTTCCTTTTTTCTGCAAATAGTATTTGATGTTTTTGACTGTTTGGATTCATTGTTATGCTGCAGAAAGAAGTTGGTACTGATCATGCTCCTTGATGTTATTACTATTATGGAAAAAGAGTCAGCTTGTAATTCTCAGCAGTGAGGAGGCATCAACTTTGATCATATTACCAGCTTTGTATGTGGAAGTGCAGCTGAGTCATTTCACCTTGGAGGAGTGATTTTTTTTTTTTTTTAGGTTGTAACTATTCTATGAATAGCAGTTCTGATAAGCTGTGTCTTCTGGATGGATGTACTAAGATCCTATGATTTCTGCCATTTTCTAAGCTGATGCAGTGCTGGACAGTTTTTGTTTCCCAAAGGGAAATAAGCTCGATAAATATCCCTACACTCAACGTCTGTGGCCAACCAATGTCCTTGGCCACAGCCTTACCCCTTTATGGTTCTGTAGATGAGCTTGGACAGCACATCTAGAAATACCTAGTTTCCTTGGTACAGGGTGACCACATAGTTACATAGTATTTGAGGTTGAATAAAGACATTAGTCCATCAAGTCCAACCTATTAGGATCTCATTCTAGGAGTACCCGTACCCCTGTATATTACGGTCCCTTAAGAAATCGTCCAAAAGTTTCTTGAACAATTCCACATTATTTGCTGAAATCACCGCCTGTGGCAGTGAGTTCCAGACCCTAACTGATCTTACTGTGAAGAACCCCCTTCACCCCTTGTGCTGGAATTTTTTTTCCACTAATTTTAGGTGATGGCCTCTAGTTTTTGTAACGGAGTTAATTTTAAACAGTTTATCGCTAATGTTGCTACCACCATTAAACATTTTGTACATGGAAATCATATCCCCCCTTAATCTCCTCACCTCTAATGTGAACATGTTTAAATTTAGTAGCCTTGTCTCGTAGCTCTGGTCCTCCATACCCCTAATTAGTTTGGTTGCCCTTCGCTGGACTTTTTCCAACTCAAGGACATCTTTTCTTAGTACTGGTGACCAGAACTGGACCGCGTACTCCAGATGAGGTCGAACCCATGATCTATAAAGTGGCAAAATTATAGACTTGTCCCTGCAATACATCCCCTTTTTAATACAGGACAAGACTCTGCTAGCTTTGTTTACAGCAGCCTGGCACTGCAAACTACCTTTCAGTTTGTGGTCTACAATGACCCCCAAATCCTTCTCCATTTCTGACTTCCCCAGCGGCAATGACCACCTTGTGTCTTGTTACAATTCTCCCTTTTTCCTTAGTGCAAGGTGTGCTATATCTACCACAACCTCACTTTATTTTCAGAATGGTTGTCCTTGCCCAGTTTCCTCCTCTCTAAAATGTGTTTTCTGTTTCATTCAATCTGTTTGTTGCAACATAAATATGAAAATGACGTTTGCCTAACCCATACATGTGAAATTAACATACAAATGAAATTAAGGTTTGCTTAACCCCTTCTGGCCATCCCTGTACAGCAGGGCTGAAGTGCGTGAGGAAGAAGCAGTACAAATAGCCAATCAGTTTATGGGAATTTGTACATAGCTTATGCACTCACTGGCCACGTTATTAGGTCCACCTTGCTAGTACTTTGTTGGACCACTTTCATCAGCAGCATCACGCATTTGCTGCAGATCTCCCATTCCACCTTATCCCAAAGGTGTTCTATTGGATTGAGACCTGGTGTCTGGAGTACAGCGAGCTCATTATCATGTTCAAGAAAACAGTTTTGAGATGATTTCAGCTTTGGTGGAATGGTCTCCTGATGACGTGATGGTTGTGACAGCCAATCACAGTGATCACTTAATCAAGGAAGCCAATGCACCATCCTGCAAAAACTTGAGGACACTCCAGTGTTCTCAACAAAGTCCAAATATATATGTGGTGCCCAGGTGACCACACGGATGGTGCCGTGCAAAACACTGATGGTAAATAAAAGTAATTCACCGGCAGACACTTAAAGGGTTTTTAAAGTATTGATATATTTATTCAATACCCAATGTCACATGCTGTCATACGGTGCTAACCTTTCTGGTCCGCACAGTGATCCTTCATCAGAGTGACAGTTTGTTCAGATAGGAGACAAGTGCAGTGTATGGGAACCATGACTTCTTTGGAGCACTGTCCTTAAATGAGGATTAATCCTCCTATTTTTGGGATATGTTCTAGGATGAGACCTGCAAATACCTTCTGTTTTAAGAAAGCTTTACTGTGCTATTCATTGGTTAGAATGAGGCCTTTTTGACTGCTTTAATCCCTTCTCATGATTAAGCAAACAGTATATAACAAAGCGCCAGCGGCTTGTATCCAAACACGGAGAATATCTGAAATGGTCTCAAAATTACCCACAAATGGGGCAGGCTCTCAGACAGGCTTTGGGAAAGCCTCAACTCTGGATGAAACAAAAGAGCGCCTCCATCGCGTAAAACCGTTTTATTGAGACAGATTTAAACAGATAAAAACATACTCACAAAAGTTGAATTTTTACAGGCAT